AGTGGCATCTACATCTACAGAACTTGAATAACCAGTGGCATCTACATCTGTAGAACGTGAAGAACCAGTGACATCTACATCTACAGAATGTGAAGAACCAGTGGCATCTACAGAACGTGAAGAACCAGTGGCATCTACATCTGCAGAACGTGAACAACCAATGGCATCTACATCTGCAGAACGTGAAGAACCAGTGGCATCTACATCTACAGTACATGAACAACCAGTGGCATCTACATCTACAGAACGTGAAGAACCAGTGGCATCTACATCTACAGAACGTGAAGAACCACTGGCATCCACATATACAGAACATGAAGAACCAGTGGCATCTACATCTACAGAACATGAAGAACCAGTGGCATCTACATCTACAGAACGTGAAGAACCAGTGGAATCTAAATCTGTAGAACATGAACAACCAGTGGCATCTACATCTACAGAACGTGAAGAACCAGTGGCATCTACAGAACGTGAAGAACCATTGGCATCTACATCTGCAGAACGTGAAGAACCAGTGGCATCTACATCTACGGAACGTGAAGAACCAGTGGCATCTACATATATAGAACATGAAGAACCAGTGGCATCTACAGAACGTGAACAACCAGTGGCATCTACATCTGCAGAACGTGAAGAACCAGTGGCATCTACATCTACAGTACATGAACAACCAGGGGCATCTACATCTACAGAACGTGAAGAACCAGTGGCATCTACATCTACAGAACGTGAAGAACCACTGCCATCTACATATACAGAACATGAAGAACCAGTGGCATCTACATATACAGAACATGAAGAACCAGTGGCATCTACATCTACGGAACGTGAAGAACCAGTGGCATCTACATATATAGAACATGAAGAACCAGTGGCATCTACAGAACATGAAGAATCAGTGGCATCGACATCTACAGAACGTGAACAACCAATGGCATTTCCATCTACAGAACGTGAAGAACCAGTGGCATCTATATCTACAGAACGTGAACAACCAGTGGCATCTACATCTGTGGAACGTTAAGAACCAGTGACATCTACATCTACAGAACGTGAAGAACCAGTGACATCTACATCTACAGAATGTGAAGAACCAGTGGCATCTACAGAACGTGAATAACCAGTGGCATCTACATCTGCAGAACGTGAACAACCAGTGGCATCTACATCTACAGAACGTGAACAACCAGTGGCATCTACAGAACGTGAAGAACCAGTGGCATCTATATCTACAGAACGTGAACAACCAGTGGCATCTACATCTGCGGAACGTTAAGAACCAGTGACATCTACATCTACAGAACGTGAAGAACCAGTGACATCTACATCTATAGAACGTGAAGAACCAGTGGCATCCACATCTACAGAATGTGAAGAACCAGTGGCATCTACATCTACAGAACATCAAGGACCAGTGGCATCTACATCTACAGAACGTGAAGAACCAGTGGCATCTACATCTGCAGAACATGAACAACCAGTGGCATCTACATCTACAGAACATGAGGAAACAGTGGCATCTACATCTACAGAACGTGAACAACCAGTGGCATCTACAGAACGTGAAGAACCAGTGCCATCTACATCTACAGAACATGAAGAACCAGTGGCATCTACATCTACAGAACATGAAGAACCAGTGGAATCTACATCTGTAAAACATGAACAACCGGTGGCATCTACATCTACAGAACGTGAAGAACCAGTGGCAACTACAGAACATTAAGAACCAGTGGCATCTACATCTACAGAACGTGAACAACCAGTGGCATCGACATCTACAGAACGTGAACAACCAATGGCATCTACATCTGCAGAATGTGAAGAACCAGTGGCATTCCCATCTACAGAACGTGAAGAACCAGTGGCATCTACATCTGCAGAACGTCAACAACCAGTGGCATCTACATCTATAGAACATGAAGAACCAGCGGCATCTACATCTACAGAACGTGAAGAACCAGTGGCATGTACATCTATAGAATGTGAAGAACCAGTGGCATGTACATCTATAGAACGTGAAGAAACAGTGGCATCTACATCTGCAGAACATGAAGAACCAGTGGCCTTTACATCTACAGAACGTGAAGAACCAGTGGCATCTACATCTACGGAACGTGAAGAACCAGTGGCATCTACATATATAGAACATGAAGAACCAGTGGCATCTACAGAACATGAAGAACCAGTGGCATCAACATCTATAGAACAGGAAGAACCAGTGGCATATACATCTGTAGAACGTGAAGAACCAGTGGTATCTATAGAACGTGAAGAATCAGTGGCATCTACAGAACGTGAACAACCAGTGGCATCTACATCTACAGAACATTATCAACCAGTGACATCTACATCTATAGAACATGAGGAAATAGTGGCATCTACATCTACAGAACGTGAAGAACCAGTGGAATCTACATCTACAGAACATGAACCACCAGTGGCATCTACATCTACAGAACGCGAATAACCAGTGGCATCTACATCTACAGAATGTGACGAACCAGTGGCATCTACAGAACGTGAAGAACCAGTGGCATCTACATCTGCAGAACGTGAACAACTAGTGGCATCTACATCTGCAGAACGTGTGAAGAACCACTGGCATCTACATATACAGAACATCAAGGACCAGTGGCATCTACATCTACAGAACGTGAAGAACCAGTGGCATCTACTTCTACAGAACGTGAAGAACCAGTGGAATCTACATCTGTAGAACATGAACAACCAGTGGCCTCTACATCTACAGAACGTGAAGAACCAGTGGCATCTACATAACGTGAAGAACCAGTGGCATCTACATCTACAGAACGTGAACAACCAGTGGCATCTAGATCTGCAGAACGTGAAGAGCCAGTGGCATCTACATCTACAGAAAGGGAAGAACCATTGGAATCTACATCTACAGAACATAAACCACCAGTGGCATCTACATCTACAGAACGTGAATAACCAGTGGCATCTACATCTACAGAACGTGAAGAACCAGACATCTACATCTACAGAATGTGCAGAACCAGTGGCATCTACAGAACGTGAATAACCAGTGGCATCTACATCTGCAGAACGTTAAGAACCAGTGGCATCTACATCTGCAGAACGTGAAGAACCAGTGGCATCTACATCTGTAGAACGTGAAGAACCAGTGGCATCTATATCTACAGAACGTGAACAACCAGTGGCATCTACATCTGCGGAACGTTAAGAACCAGTGGCATCTACATCTACAGAACGTGAACAACCAGGAGCATCTACATCTACAGAACATGAACAATCAGTGGCATCTACATCTATAGAACGTGAACAATCAGTGGCATCTACATCTGTAGAATGTGAAGAACCAGTGGCAGCTACATCTACAGAACGTGAACAACCAGTGGCATCTACATCTACAGAACGTGAAGAACCAGTGGCATCTACATCTGTAGAACGTGAAGAACCAGTGGCATCTACATCTACAGAACACGAACAACCAGTGACATCTACAGAACGTGAAGAACCAGTGGCATCTACATCTACAGAACGTGAAGAACCAGTGGCATCTACATCTACAGAACATGAACAACCAGTGGCATCTACATCTACAGAATGTGAACAACCAGTGGCATCTACATCTACAGAATGTGAACAACCAGTGGCATCTACATCTACAGAATGTGAACAACCAGTGGCATCTACATCTACAGAACATGAACAACCAGTGGCATCTACATCTACAGAATGTGAACAACCAGTGGCATCTACATCTACAGAACATGAAGAACCAGTGGCATCTACAGAACGTGAAGAACAGTGGCATCTACATCTGTAGAACGTGAAGAACCAGTGGTATCTACATCTACAGAACGTGAACAACCAGGAGCATCTACATCTACAGAACATGAACAATCAGTGGCATCTACAGAACGTGAAGAACCAGTGGCATCTACATCTACAGAATGTGAACAACCAGTGGCATCTACATCTACAGAATGTGAACAACCAGTGGCATCTAACGGTAAACTTTCATAGGCTACTGTTACCAACAACACTTGTCCCTACAGCACTTGCCCCTACAGCTCTGTTAGAGGCTACCTGGGGGAGCTTCGTCTCCTCCCCCACCACACCACCCTCACCACCCACACCACCCACACCACCCTCACCACCTTCTCCACCCACACCACCCACACCACCCACACCACTCACACCACCCACACCACCCTCACCACCCACACCACCCTCACCACCCTCACCACCCACACCACCCTCACCACCCTCACCACCCTCACCACCAACACCACCCTCACCTCACCACCCTCACCACCCTCACCTCACCACACCATCCTCACCACCCTCACCTCACCACCCTCACCACTCTCACCACTCCACCCTCACCACCCACACCACCCTCACCACTCTCACCACTCCACCCTCACCACCCTCACCTCACCACTCCACCCTCACCACTCCACCCTGACCACCCACACCACCCTCACCACTCTCACCACTCCACCCTCACCATCCTCACCACCCTCACCACTCCACCCTCACCACCCACACCACCCTCACCACTCTCACCACTCCACCCTCACCACCCACACCACCCTCACCACCCTCACCAGACCACCCACACCATCCTCACCACCCTCACCACCCTCACCAAACCACCCACACCACCCTCACTACCCACACCACCCTCACCACCCTCACCACCCTCACCTCACCACCCTCACCACACCAACCACACCACCCACACCACCCACACCACTCTCACCACACTCACCACCCTCACCTCACCACTCTCACCACCCACACCACCCTCACCACCCTCACCACCACACCACCACCCTCACCACACCACCACACTCACCACCCTCACCTCACCACTCTCACCACACTCACCACACCACCCTCACCACCCTCACCACCCACACCACCCTCACCACCCTCACCACCCTCACCTCACCACCCTCACCACCCTCACCTCACCCCCCTCACTACCCTCACCACCCTACCGAGTGTCGCTGCCCACGGCTTCTGCTGCTGCTCTTTGAGGGCCGCGGCGGCGTCTTCGAGTCCAGAACGAGTGGAGCGGGACGCCATCGCTGCCTCTGAGCCTCCTCCTCCCCCCCCCCACTTGCTCCTCCCCTTCCGCTTCCCCTACTCGCTCCTCCCCTTCCGCTTCTGCTACTCGCTCCTCCCCTTCCGCTTCTGCTACTCGCTCCTCCCCCTCTGCTTCCCCTACTCGCTTCTCCCCTTCCGTTTCCTCTACTCGCTCCTCCCTTTCCGCTTCCCTCCCCCACTCGCTCCTCCTCTTCCGCCTCCGCTAATCGCTCCTCCATTTTCCGCTTCCTCTACTCGCTCCTCCACCTTCCGCTTCCTCCCCACTCGCTCCTCCCCTTCCGCCTCCGCAAATCGCTCCTCCCTTTTCCGTTTCCTCTACTCGCTCCTCCCCTTCCGCTTCCCCCACTCGCTCCTCCCTTTTCCGCTTCCTCTATTCGCTCCTCTCTTTCCGTTTCCTCTACTCGCTCCTCCCTTTCCGTTTCCCCTACTCGCTCCTCCCCTTCTGCCTCCTCTACTCGCTCCTCCTTTTCCGTTTCCTCTTCTCGCTCCTCCCTTTCCGGTTCCTCTATTCGCTCCTTCCCTTTCCGTTTCCTCTACTCGGCTCCTCCTTTTCCGTTTCTCTACTCGCTCCTCCCCTTTCCGCTTCCTCTACTGGCTCCTCCTCTTCCGCTTTCCCTCCACTCGCTCCTCCCCTTCCGTTTCCTCTACTCGCTCCTCCCCTTCCGCTCCCCCTACTCGTTCCTCCTCTTCCGCTCCCCCCACTCGCTCCTCCCCATCCGCTTCCTTCCACTCGCTCCTCCTCTTCCGCTTTCTTCCATTCGCTCCTCCCTTTCCGCTTCCTCCACTCGCTCCTCCTTTTTCCGCTTCCTCTACTCGCTCCTCCCCTTCCGCTTCCCCCACTCGCTCCTCCGCTTCCTCTACTCGCTCCTCCCCTTCCGGGTCAGACATCTGTTACGATGTGTGACGTAGGGGAGGGGGGAGGGGTTTGAGAAATGTGACGTCACATCAAAATGCGGCAAATTTATCAATAAATACAGACAAACGCCTTCTACTTAATTAAATAGACTTTTTAATAAAGGAGCCTTCCATAAATGACGTCACGCACCTAAGGGGGGTGGGTGGGTGGGGGGTGGGGTCAGACATCTGTGACGATGTGTGACGTGGGTGGAAGGGGGAGGGGTTTGAGAAATGTGACGTCACGTCAAAATGCGGCAACTTTATAAAATGATAAATAAATACAGACGAACACGTTCTACTTAATTAAATAGACTTTTAATAAATGTTTTCTCCCTACAACATCACAGTGCAAGCTCCACGTTAAACACGCAACTGCAATGTGACAATAGTCTACAGCGATTTGAAGAGTGGTTTATTTTTGGGAGAGAGGAGGTGGGGCAGAGCTTTGTGACGTCATACTTGAGGGGGGGGCAGAGCTTTCTGACGTCATATTTGATGGGGGGGGCAGAGCTTTGTGACGTCATATTTGAGGGGGGTCTGACTTTTTGTGACGCCGCGTGACGATGGGGGGTGGGGCGGGGTAAAAAATCCTCCAAACTCGCGTGACGTCATTTATGGACGGCCCCCTTACCACCAACAACACCCCACACACACACACCCCACCCCGCACACGCACACCCCACACACACACCCCACACACATACACACCCACACCCCACACACATACACACCCACACCCCACACACATACACACCTACACCCCACACACACCACACACACACACCACACACACCACACACACACACCACACACTACACACACACCCCACACACACACACCACACACACACCACACACACACCCCACACACACCACACACACACACACCACACACACACACCACACACACTACACACACCACACACACACCCCACACTCACCACACCACACACAAACACCCCACACACACACCACACACACATTTCCTATGAGCCTCTGCACGAGGCTAATTTCCCACGAGCCTCTGCAGGAGCTCATTCCCATGAGCCTCTGCAGGAGCTCATTTCCCATGAGCCTCTGCACGAGGCTCATCTCCCATGAGCCTCTGCACGAGGCTCATTTCCCATGAGCCTCTGCCGTGGGCTCATTTCCCATGAGCCTCTGCAGGAGCCCATTTCCCATGAGCCTCTGCAGCTCATTGTGACGTCATATTTCAGTGAGGGCCAAAAATCGGCCAAAACCGCGTGACGTCATTTATGAACGGCCCCTTATTACTTTTTGTCTAATTCCAAGAGATATATTCCGCTTCCGGAAGATATCGTCCTCTTCCAGAAGTCTTCTTAATATTACAAAAGCGAACTTCTTCTCGTTCCGGAAGATGTCTTCCTCTTCCAGAAGCTCCTCTTATTGTTCCTCAATCTTATTTCATCTTCCGGAATAATTCTTACGGTTCCACAAAGCCAACTTCCTCTTCCGGAAGACGTCTTCCTCTTCCGGAAGTATTATTAGGGTTCCAAAAGCCAACTTCTCACCTTCCAGAAGACTTCTTCCTCTTCCAGAAATGTTCTTCATTTTTTCACAAGCTAACTTCCCATTCCTGAAGATGTCTTCCTCTTCCGGAAGTTTTCTTAAAGGTGCACAAGCCAACTTCCTCTGCCGGAAGACGTCTTCCTCTTCCGGAAGTCTTCTTAAGATTCCAAAAGCCAACTGCTTCTCCTTCCGGAAGACGTCTTCCTCTTCCGGAAGTATTCTTAATGTTTCACAAGTTAACTTCCCAATTTCGGAAGAAGTCTGCCTCTTCCGGAAGTATTCCTACAGTTTCACAAGCTAACTTCCCCTTCCGGAAGAACTCCTACAGTTTCAGAAGCTAACTAGCCATTCTGGATGACATCTTCCTCTTCCGGAAGTATTCTTAAAGTTTTACACGATAACTTCCCATTCCGGAAGATTTCTTCCTCTTCCGGAAGATGAGCCGCACTGCGTCATCGGAGTTTGCCGCGCCGCGTGACGGGTGACGTCAGCAGTCGCGTCACGCGCCCAACCGCCAACCCCTCGTGACCACCGCGGCGACGTCCCATTGGTTCCCTCGTTCCCCCTGGCCCCCACCCTCTCCCCTCCACCCACCCTTAAACTCCGCCCCCTCCCAAACCCCGCCCTCTTAAGCCCCAAACCCCGCCCCCTTTTTTCCACCGCCCGTCCATCCACAACGCTGAGGCAGTCAGCAGCAGGCAGGCGTCCATCCAGCCACTCGCCCAGTCAGTCACCCAGCCGGTCAGTCAGCCGGTCAGTCAGTCAGCCGGTCAGTCAGTCACCCAGCCAGGCAGTCAGCCGGTCAGTCACCCAACCGGTCAGTCAGCCAGTCAGCCAGCCAGCCAGTCAGTCACCCAGCCACACAGTCACCCAACCAGTCGGTCAGCCAGGCAGTCAGTCAGCCAGTCAGTCAGTCACACAGGCGATCAGTCACTCACCCAGCCAGCCAGTTAGTCACCCAGCCAGCCAGTCAGTCAGTCACCCAGCCAGTCAGCCAGTCAGTCAGTCAGCCAGCACAGGCGATCAGTCACTCACCCAGTCACCCACACAGTCAGTCACCCACACAGCCAGCCAGTCAGTCACCCACACAGCCAGTCAGTCAGTCACCCACACAGTCACCCACACAGTCAGTCAAGTCAGAGGCGAGCGGAGCTGATCATCATCATCAGCAGGAAGACGACGACGAAAATGGCGACCGTCATTGCAGGGAGGACTCAGAACCTCTCACACCACCAACAACAACAACAACGTCAACAACAACAACAACGTCAACAACAACAACAACAACGTAGTAGTGGTGGTGGTGGTGGTGGCGCTTCGGGCTCTCGGCAACACGCGGCTGCCGTGACGCGAAACTACATCTCACAACCTCGTCTGAGTGAGTACTACTTAGACAACTGTTACATAGACAACTCATACATAGACACTGTTACATAGACACTACATAGACACTGTTACATAGACACTACTACACACTACATCTCACAACCTCGTCTGAGTGAGTACTACTTAGACAACTGTTACATAGACACTACATAGACACTAATACATAGACACTACTACACACTACATCTCACAACCTCGTCTGAGTGAGTACTACTTAGACAACTGTTACATAGACAACTCATACATAGACACTACATAGACACTACTACATAGACACTACTACACACTACATCTCACAACCTCGTCTGAGTGAGTACTACTTAGACAACTGTTACATAGACACTCTTACATAGACACTACACACTACATCTCACAACCTCGTCTGAGTGAGTACTACTTAGACAACTGTTACATAGACACTCTTACATAGACACTACACACTACATCTCACAACCTCGTCTGAGTGAGTACTACTTAGACAACTGTTACATAGACAACTCATACATAGACACTACATAGACACTACTACATAGACACTACTACACACTACATCTCACAACCTCGTCTGAGTGAGTACTACTTAGACAACTCTTACATAGACACTGTTACATAGACACTACTACACACTACATCTCACAACCTCGTCTGAGTGAGTGTTACTTAGACAACTCATACATAGACAACTCATACATAGACACTACATAGACACTAATACATAGACACTACTACACTACATCTCACAACCTCGTCTGAGTGAGTACTACTTAGACAACTCTTACATAGACACTGTTACATAGACACTACTACACACTACATCTCACAACCTCGTCTGAGTGAGTACTACTTAGACAACTCTTACATAGACACTGTTACATAGACACTACTACACACTACATCTCACAACCTCGTCTGAGTGAGTGTTACTTAGACAACTCATACATAGACACTGTTACATAGACACTGTTACATAGACACTAATACATAGACACTACTACACACTACATCTCACAACCTCGTCTGAGTGAGTGTTACTTAGACAACTCATACATAGACACTGTTACATAGACACTGTTACATAGACACTAATACATAGACACTACTACACACTACATCTCACAACCTCGTCTGAGTGAGTACTACTTAGACAACTCATACATAGACACTACTACATAGACACTGTTACATAGACACTACTACACACTACATCTCACAACCTC